GGTAAATCCCCAGAGGCTCCCAGGGCAGGTAGCGGGATAAGACGAGACCCTGCCTAGGTAGCAAACAGAGACCAACGCTTGAGGTTGACTTCCGTTTTAGTCAGGATTATTCACGAAGAGACACCATGACCATGCTCATGCTTCTAAAGGAAAACATTTCATTGGGGCTGGCTTACAGTTTCAGAAGTTTAGTCCATTATCATCATGGTGGGGAAGCGTGGCAGCACGCAGGCAGACATGGTGCTGATGAAGGAGCTGAGATCTACAGGCAGCAGGAAGAAATTTCCACACTGGGCGTGGCTTTGAGCATCTGAGTCCTCAAAGCCTGCCGCTGTAACACTTCCTCCAACAACACCATGCCCACTCCAACAAGGCCACACCTCCTAATAGTGCCACTCCCTATGGACTTATGGGGACCATTTTATTCAAACCACCACTGCTTCTGATCTCCACATGCAGTATCTTGGCATTCACACACATGAATGCCTACTCACACACGCACGATATATATAAATTGTATGTGTGTATATGTAAATACATATATACATTCACACACAGTTTTTCCTAAAACACTTGCTGAACTGGATTTATTTTTTAAGAGGCAAGTATAACCAAAGCAAATCCCATATAGGGAGAAGCATTCTCTTTGTCACCAATTTTGAAAGGGGGTGTGGTGAACTGTGGATTGACCTACAACCATGCACATTCTAGGACAGTACTTTGTTCCAGCCCCAGTGGGAACTTTTTTTAACTTCTGTGGCTTACAGTGCTTTGCAGTTAGTTGTGACCCAGTGTGTCAAGTTGAAGCCAGCATGTTCGTCTTAGAGTGCTTATAAACCTTTATCGTTGGCCTGGTTCACTCCTCTTGATTTTATAATCAAAACACACACCAAAGGAGCACACAGATGTATTAGCAATAGCAGAAGTTATAATGCTTACATAACTGCCTCAGCTGAGTCAGTGGGTATGGAGTGTGTTGGGTTTGTTTCAGTTAGAGTTATTAAGATTCTTTACCTGGCATAGGGCTGGTTTATACAGAAGGGCTGATCAGCTTTACTTTATAATTCCGCATGTAAACAAAACATAAAGTATGAGGAAACCGTTGTGAGTCAGGACTGTGGACTGTGGGGAGAGGCCAAACGTGAAGAAAACCAGGGTGTACCACAGTAAACTCTCAGAATCCCCAGGCAAGTTCTGTGAACACTATTTGCCTCTACGTCTCTAAGTGTCTGCAAGAGTTGTTTAATAGTTGTCCTGGAATGGCGTGGGATGTGGCACAGTGGTACAAATGCCATGCTTTTGGGGTGCCAGTGTCTTCAAGCAACTCCCTGTTGTAGGCTGTGTGGTCTAAGGAGTTTCCGGGGACTCAGTGCTGTAGGGGTCCTGACCTCCTCCAAAGGAAAACTGGAAGACAGGAGGGGGAGCGGGTGCAGGCACACTGAAGACTCCATGACCTCTTAAGTACTGTGGAGGCTTTCGAAGGACACCATTGACGGGGTGTTATCTATGGTGATAACCAAGCTGAAAGATGACAGAAGCTCAAAACAGCAGTTACTTCACTTACTCAAAAGAATTTCCCTTTCTAAATGAGAATATAGGTTGTTTTATGAGGTGAGTTTCAGTCTTCTGGATGAGCAGAATGCTATCGTAACATGTGCAATAAAAACCCAGAGACAAATATTAGGGTTCAAGAGATCAGAAAAGCCAAACAAAACAAAAGAACAGAAAGTAAAATAGCCAAGCCACTAGAGAGTTCTTACCTCTACCAAGGCTTGAACAAAGGTGTGATCCTGTCCTCAGTTGACTGCAGACTATAATGCTCTCCACCAAACCTCAGACTGCACTGAGCTCCTGTCGCCTCCTGCCTTATATTCCTCTCTCTGCTCAGCCGTATCACTCCTGTCTCCACCTCCCTAGTGCTGGGATTAAAGGCCTGTGACTTCCAAGTGCTGGCATCACCTTTGTGTGAGTTCTCTCTTTTTAGGCAGATTCAAGCCTCGAATCCTGGGATTACAAGTGTGTGCCACCACTCCTTGGCCTCTGGTGGCTTAACTCTGCACTCTGATCTTCAGACAAGCTTTATTAAAAATACAAATAGAGCCAGGCAGTGGTGGTGCACGCCTTTAATCCCAGCACTCGGGAGGCAGAAGTAGGTGGATCTCTGTGAGTTCGAGGCCAGCCTGGTCTACAAGAACTAGTTCCAGGAGAGGCTCCAAAGCTACAGAGAAACCCTGTGTCGGGGGAAAAAAAAAAAAAAACACAAATAAACTATCACTATAGCTGATAAACTGGAAGGTCAGAAGCATGGTGCATTAGCTGTTTTCAGTCGTCTTGGTCGAGGTGTTTCTTCTGCGTATTTACCTCTTACTGCATACGGACTTGCTGCAGTTTGGTCAGTTGTGTGGTCTTGGCTTTCAGGTCTTGTGGTGTGTGCAGCTCCAAAGGAACCAGGGCTGTTCCCTCCTGTTTGCTCTCCTGGCTTTCTGCCTCATTAGAACGGTGAGAAATGTGGGCCCTGAGGGAGTCTGTCAGGGCTGATTTGACGAAACACTGCAGGATTAAGATGAGGCCCCAGCTCTGCCATATGGAGCGGCAACCTGGCCCTGCCACTTGCTATCCAGAGGATGCGCCCAGTTGCCTCAATTTCTTATCTTGGTTTTGTTCTTTTTCATAATTCTTTATTGACTCTGGAAATTTGACATTGTGCACCCAACCCCACTCACCCCCCAGCCCCTCCATATCTGTCCCACACCCCTGCAACATGCACCCCCCCCAATTAATTGAAAACAAAATAAACAAAAGCCCACTTTGCTCCTCCTCAGGAGCTGCCGTGTGTCACGTAGTACACCCTTTTGTCCAATCAGTCCTACCCACGCGATGTTCATTGCAGTGAGTCACTGGTCTGGTTCAAGGCCTCTGGCATCCCCTATGAGCGTTCTTACTATTTCTTAGTGCTTATGAGATAACTCAATGGCCCTTTTTAATCTACAAAACTGGCTCTGCTCTCCTCGGGCCCCCAAGACAAAGCACAGTTGGCTAAAAGGGGATGAGAAGAAAGCAAGTCTATATAACTGCCTAAGACAGACCCCACCCCACTGTTCTCAACCAGACTGGAGCCCGGGGTGCTGTACAGGTGAAGCCTTTAAAAAGCAATCAACCCTCCAACCTCTGCTCGCTCCTTACTGGCCCAGGAATGTGACGCTGCTATCCAGGAATTTAGTGAGACCACAGTAACCTTAGCAGCTAGTGTGAGCGTGTGCATCAAGCTTAGAGGGCAGCCCAGGTGCTCAACGCTCCATCCTGGAGTGCGGGGAAGAAGGGAGCAGTCAGGACACAATTACCACTCAAGGTAACTTCTTACTGAACTAAGTTTTTAAAAAGTCTCAGCATGTGTGTGTGTGCACACACACTCACACACCCCCATGCATGCCAGTGTGCTTATGTGGAAGTCCGAGAACAACTCTGTGGCGTTGGTTCTCTCCTGCCCTTTCCTTGGGATTCAGAGACCTGACCCAGGCCCTCAGGCTTGCGGAGTTTTATCCGCTAAGTCACCTGGGTAGACGAGCTTCTTCAGATCACTGGATCCTGGAGCTGGGGGCGTACTGTAGGCCGCAAGGCTCTCTTCATAGCAATACTAAGTAAACTGGCCTTTTACTTGTCTTGTCTCTTAGCCCCTTTCTCAGTGATTTTACCTTTCCAGCTATTGCCTCCCCACCAACTGTCTCCCACAGGAGCTCCCTTTCCAAGTGGGCAGACCCAGGACATCCATCCCCTGGACTCTTTGGTTCCATTCAGGAACATCCTTCTGCCTCAAACCTGTTCTATGGCCAAGTCTGTACCTCTCCCCAACCCCCTGCTGTTTGTAAAGGAGGTCACAAATGCAGATCTTTAAGGCCTGGCTTGGTCATCAACCAGTTTGTATCACGGGGAAGGAGATGTGTCCGTTCTGCGTGCTGTTAGTGGTGAAAAATCAGACCTAAGACAACCCTACCTTCGATTCCCTCCCTGGAGTTGTTTCAAAATTTATTCCTCTGAAGGAGATATATTCTTCCCCAAATCCTAATGACTGAACTAATTGTATTACTTTATCCATGAACATAGTAGGTAGTTTTCCATAAGCATGTTATCTCTTGTCCTTAATATAGCTCCTGCCTGTTCCAAATTGTTTATTGTAGGCACTTTATCTTTAAATTGTCATTATAAAAGGGAGCTTGCTTTTTCCTATTTTGTTTCACCCGGCATTTCTGTATAGGAAAGGGAGTTTTTTCAAATTCTTGTAGTAACTCCATTTCCCCTGACCATTTTCCAGGATGGTAAATAACATGAGACGGTGGCAAAGAATTTTTACTATTCGGTTTGCAATTTGGGAAAGCTATACTAGTGGAATCTGACAAAAATGATGTGTAACTGGGCGGTAGTGATGCACGCCTTTAATCCCAGAACTCGGGAGGCAGGGCAGTGGATCTCTGAGTTCAAGGACAGCCTGGTCTACAGGACTGACTCCATAGATACTGGGAAACCCTGTCTCAAAAAAAAAAAAAAAAAAAAAAAAGGTGTGGCTCAGCATGTCTTCATCATGCCTGCACGTCTTCTGTCACCGTATTTTACATGGCCATTAGCTTGCATTCACTCTAGCCTTGGGACATAATTGCTTATTTCCATAGTCCTGACAGACTATGAAGTCAGTGCTATCGCCCCAGATTCTTTGAACCTCAGACCCTGGACCTCCTTGTAGAGGAATTCCTTTCACATTCTTCTGTGACAGCCCTCTCATTCCATCCGTGTCACCTCCAACACTCCCTACACTAGATCCTTTCAGGAGAGACGGTTGCCATTGGCTCTTCCCGACTGCTAGTAAGCAGCCCCCGCCTCAGGACACGGCTTTCATCAGCTCCACCGCAGGTGCTAAGCAGACATGATTGCTTGAGGTCCCATGTCCTTCTTCCCCTTCCAAGTTCTAGCAGCAGGATGTGTTCCAATGAAGAGTCCACAAAAGCAGAAACGGTTGAAAATGTAATTTATTTTCAAATAAATGATCGTTTTCAAGCAATAAATAAAAACGGACATGTTTGACTCTTCTAGAAAACAAAAAACCCCTATACTATGTACATCCTACAGAAATACAGGCATATCAAATGTAGAAATGACGCCACTCAGAAAGACAGGGCTATTTACACAAGGTACAAGTATTGCATTGTTATCTTTCTGAAGTCTATTGGATGAGTCATGAGCAGGGAGGAAGGGCAGGGCCCTGGAAGGAGGGCTTCAAAACGAACACATACTTTCTCCATCTTTCTTGATGGAGACAAAGTTGAAGGAAATACATCAACACCCAGACACTACATTGAGCCCACTCACAGTGCTCCACAAATTGGTTCCCACGCAGGGGCTCCCGCAAAGAAACCACCTCATCCCTCAGCCAGCTGTGGCCAGTGGGACCACAATGACCCAGTACCAAAGTTCCGCTGCAGCCCGTTTCACCTCTGTGGGAATTCCACCACCCAGAAGCAGTGGCATCTCCAAAACCTGACTGAAACTAGGCACATGGAAAGCACCTAGGAACACTGTAACATATTGGCGTCCGGGTCCTGCTTTATCTGGGCAAGGGTCATGTGGATCTGAGGGGCTTAACATTGCCCAGGCAACTGTGATGGACAACCACTATCAACTACTGTATCATTCCCACAGGCTTCATGTTCACGGCCCAGTCCCTTCCCCCTGGGATTAACTCCCAATTACCCCTCCCTTCTTGCCACCTTCCCAAGGACTCTGAGTCACTTCTCATGGCTTCCCCAGCCGTATGGAAAACCAAGCACAGGTCACAGGGGCAAATGAAGCTGAGAGCCACCTGCTCACCTGTGCTTCAGCCTTCAGACTCCCCGACAAACACCCACGGATGAGACGAGATTCCTGGGGAGAATTGGGAGTGTTCCTCATTCTCTGACAAATATTGAATAGCTTTTGGCCATCACAAAGATGTCCCATCACCAGAAATCAGTTCTTGGGACAAGATGCTGTCTTTTTGAAACTAACCATTTGGAATGTCCCTGGGACAGGGTCTTCATTAGAGCTTATTTCAGGCCATCAAAGAAGCTTCTGGAGAGAGAACTTTTTAGGGTTGTCCCTCCACACACACTTTTTTTTTTCAATCAAACCAATGTCCTATATTCTTAGAGTTTTGGGTCTCATGCTGTTACCAAGTACAAAGAAAATGCCTTTATAAATAGCCCCTTGACATTGTCATAGAAGGCCTGCACTGGGAAGCTGGGGAGGGACAGCTGGAGCTCCCACTGCCTGTGTGGTTGGGATCCAGTCTGAGAACTAGGACACATTTGGCAAACACACTCGTATAAAAAGTGAACGTAGCCTAAAGGCTGCTTCTCTGCCCTCCAGAAGCCCTTCCGTTCTCGGAGCCCAGGGCTTGCCTAACTACAAAACTCTATCTAATCTAACTCTTCGGCGGCCAGGAAGCAGGGGGAAATGGAGGCCCATACAACTCGGGTCCGCCACCCTGGAGCTCAGCTCCTTCGTGCCTTCAGCCAAGCAGCAGAGGCAGGGAAGTAGGGTAGCCATTCCTTCTTCTAAAAAAAAAAGCGAGGACTCTGGACTCACCCAAAGGCAGAGTTTGACCCAGGCCATCAAGACAAGCCATGCCAGCACAGGTTCACAGTTCACAGAGGGAAATAGGACGAACCCGGGCTATCTGGGATGGCAGATGAGAAAAGAGCATTCCACCATGATCGTCACACTGAAGCTTGAAGTTATTTATGTGTGATCGAGAATGTTCACGGAGATCCAGACTCTCAAGTGGGGGGGGGAGGTTCCCCAGTGAGGGGGCGGAGTCCCAACGACAACAACAGGAACATGCTCTCATTCCTCATTCCTGACAAGCCTGTAGCGATCTCTAATCGGGCACTCCAAAATACTGTTCCCCAGTACTACAGAACATGTCCCCACCCCAAGCCTTCCCCATAGAAAAAAACTCCATTTGGAAAGGCTCCTTACAGCCTTACAAACGGCCTTAGCCCAGTCAGAACCCAAAACGGCCAAGTCCCCCACAGGATGTACTTCACAAGAGCCAGCAGCCAGCCCCCACCACTGCTGTTCCCCACTCCTCCATACTTTAAGGAGCCCCAAGTCATGGCAGATACTTACTTTTTATTCAAAAGAGGGCCTTTGAAAGTATTCACTTGTCAAGGAGGGATTTAATAAGAATTTCTTGGTATACTTCAAGTAAATTCCTAAAAGTGACAACGTCAATTTATCCGAGAGAGAGAGAAAGAGGGTGGTGATACATTTTGACTTGCAAAATGATTTGGTTTTAGTTCATCTTGAGTGATCTGGCTTTGATGGGGGCCTTGCCCAATCATTCACTGTATGGAAATCTGAATTGCACCCAGTTTTCCCAGAGCACCTCTTAAAATATGGCATCTATCACAGACAATATCCAAATCGTAGGCGAGTTGGAAGAAAACGCTCTAGCCACTACCAAAGGGGTCACTGGAGAAAGGCAGGCTTGTGTGGCTGGGTCACTGTGCTCAGGAACCATCTGTGAAAGTGACCAACCACAGACCTTTCCCTTGCACTACCGCCCTGCCCGCTACTAGGTCAGCATCGCAGGAGGGCGACCAAGCTGACTGGCAGAAACCCAGACACCACTCCCTCCCTCGTTGCTAGCACAACCTGTGTGTTTCCGTACTCTCCCGTGTGACTGCAACAGCAATACATTCCCAATCCACATCACCAGACTCCTGCTTAGACATCCTCAAAGATTCACTAAGCACAATTATTCAGTTGGCGACTAATTAGAAGTGAATACTGCAGCCTACAAGTTATCTAGAACAAAATTCCTATGAACACAGTAGAAGAACAAGCGCATAGCCAGGCACTTCTGGCAAACTGGCTTCCTCCTCTTTCCCTCCCCACTTAATAAAATTGGTTGAGCACTTTTGCCAGGAGCACATTTGTAGGTTTCATAACTTCAAGCCTTACCACTTAAGAAAAAAAAAAAAAATGAGGTAAATTTCTACCTGCAAAGTAAAACCAACACATAAACCAGTCAGTCTTCCCTGGCCGCAGATGCAGCCATTATTGCTCTTGGTTGGAGTGTTTTGTTTGTTTGCGTTTAAGGTGTATTCAAAGTCGTTATTGCCATTCTAGCTGGCCCTGTGGTTAGCCAGGGAGAAATGGATGGGGACGGAGCATGGTCACCTGGCCCCCCACTGGTCAGTCCCTACTTGCTGCGCACACGTGGCTTGTACAACCCTGGCTGGGGGCCACCCCTGCACTTGGCATTCAAAGACAAGCCCTAACAGCTGGGGGACGTGGTGATGGGACTGTGTAAGTACGGCAGGCTACTGGGGGCCGAGTGCACACCCACGGACACTGGGAAGCTGAAGACAAACTGCGAGCTGGGGGTGGGCGTGGCCTTGCCCCTCTCCCGCAGGGGCCCCGAGGGGCTAGCGGCCTCGGCAGCGCAGGTCGTGGTGAGCACCTGAGACTCGAACTGCAGCAGCTGCCCCATGAAGCTGAAGTTGGGCGAGATGATGCTTCGGCGCTGCTTGACGAACTCAAAAGCCTCCTCCAGGCGCACGCGTTTCTTCATCATCAGGTAGGCCAAGCAGATGGTGGCTGATCTGGAGATGCCCGCCTGACAGTGAACCAGCACGCGCCCGCGGCAGTCCTTCACGGCATCTGGGGCAGAGAGTGTGACGTGGTTAGGACCCTTGGCAGACTGCAGGCATCACCACCAGTGCGTGTGGCAGAAGCTAAGACGTGGGAGTGGGTTGGACAAGACGCCCTTGGAGGGTGGGCGCACTGTTCCTACTGGAAAGGGACGGCCCTACTAGACTGAGGATCCGGTCTAGAGTATCTTCTAGACTGAGCAACCACACAGGGATTTTTGAAGCAGACACCCAGGGAGATCACTTGGCAGAGGCCGTTAGATCAAGGAGACCAGCAACTCAAATCTTTTGCCTTCCTCTCCAGACAAAAGTCTTACTTTGGACACATGTGGAGCCATGCAAGGTGACTGGCCCCTCGGCCAGGCATGGGCAATAGCTTCCAACTCCCACCACACACGAGTCCCCATGGACGGGCTTTCTGGTGAAGGGTGGTATTTTGGGTGGAATCCCCCACAGGCTCGTGTACTGAGAGCGCTGTTTGGGAAGTCCATGCTGAAGAAACGGGCTAACTAGGGGCCGGCCTTGAGGTCTGACACCTGGCCCTACTTCCCATGTCCTCTCTGCTTCCTGACTACAGGTTCAGTGGCAACTGCTTCATACTACTGGCACCAGGTTGTCACTGTAAGCGACTACATCCTTTAACTGGAAGCCGGAGTCAGTCCCTCCCTTAAGCTGCTTTGCATCAAATATTTGGTGATAGCAATTACAGCCATACAAGGGGAGTGTCCTACCCTGCACAGCACCTGAAATCCCCACCCACCATTCCCTGGGGTTCCCTCCGCTACCCCGAGGGCAGCCTACCAATATACTCAATGGCTTCCATGAACCAGGAGCTGATGTCCGCCTTGTGGTTATCTTCTACCGGGATGCACTTGTACTGGTAGTGTCCTTCAAAGTGGTTGGGGCAGTCCGAGGAGACATTGAGCAGAGCCGTGATCCCCAGGGCGTCTAGCATGTCCCTGCGAGCAGCATGGTAGGCACTGCCGAGGTAGAGGAAAGGAAGGATCTCCACAGGACCCCCCTGCACCAAAAAGAAACATAAAGACCTCAGTGGAACAGGCGACCGGCAACCCGGACTAAGGCTGGAAGTACTGGAGCTCTCGAGGCAGCAGGACAGCCCACCGACGGTGCAGCGCACTCAGCCACACTGGGAGTTTACTCTGCTAATGCATCACAGAGCTGTGCGCCATGTGGTTGAGACATCTGTTTGGTCTGCTGTGTCTACAATGAACCCACCAGAGAGGAGATGTCTCCGACAAGAGGGGAGATCACAACAGGCCTGATATCCTAAAACATGTGCTAAGATTTACGAGCAGAAATGGTGGCGTGTAACTCCATCCATCCCCAGTCCATCCGACTGGAAGGGTGGGTAGGTGGGCATGGGCCTGAAGATCAAGCTGAGTGTTTTCGGGGCATGGCTGGCACTCCAAGGCCACTGGTACTTTATAACTTGCTGGTATATGAAGGAGAGCCTGGCTGTCATGGGAGCCCAAGCAGGCCTGGCTGAAATCCCAGTACCACGGGGCTGAGACAGAAATAACAGGTTCAAGGGCAACCTGGGCTACAAAGGGAAACCCTGTCTCAAAACACAAACAAAACAAAATACCAGAGGTATCTTCTTTTCTTTTCTTTTCTCTCTCTCCCTCTCTCTCTCTCTCTCTCTCTCTCTCTCTCCCTCCCTTCTTACCTGGGGATAATAAGAGAGAGGGAAGAAATAACTCAATACACCTGACCTAAAATTCCACCATGATACTGGGGGTTCACCACCCTATCTTCGAATTAAGGAGTTGTATTTGAGCCAGAAATTCAGAACTCTGAAAAGAAAGTTCCTTCGCGCTCCCCTGCACTGCCTGACTTAACTCTGCCCAGGGTACTACTACACCTACCTGGTCGTGCAGTGGGGTCCCACAGGAGCTGCAGCCCAGGTCCAAGGACTCAGTGGCACTAGGGGGCACAGGTGGTGGGATGGCTGCCAGGGTCTTGGTTTTAGAGCAGAATTCTGGGTACTCAGAAGAAAACCTCTCGTAGCCACCTGTGAAGGAGAAGAGTGGTTCGGGTTAGTGGAGCCACAGAGCCAGAGGGAAGGAGGACAAGGAGAGCTGTTGGCTCGGTGTGTGCCACTAGGTGGCGCTGTGGGTCTAGCGATAAAGGCTGCCGAGCATTTCCCAGAGAGGTTTGTTTGGTCAGAGGGCCTTATGTAGAACCGGAGGATGCTGAGGACTCCAATTTATGGCCACGTCTTTAATTTCAGATAAAAATGCAAAGGAAGATGTACGAGGATATGCCAGAGGGACTTTCTAGAGTGCCACGTGCCATGAGGGACCCATGCGCACTTACTTACACAGCCAGTCAGTGGTGCCCTGGCCTGGTGAGGATTCCCATCTGGGATTCCCAAGCGTCACCCTTTCAGATAGTGGAAAGAATGGGGGAGGGGAAAGACGACTTAGAATACCTCACCAGGAGCCCTTCTGAGTCTGAGTTAGAGCAGAGACCAACTGCACTGTCTCTACTAATAGGGCCACAAACAAGAGGAAACCATCATCCTTCACACAAACCTCTTCTGAGGCATAGGTTAGGGGCAAGAAAAGACTTCCTGACCCAAGTGTGCATGAGCCCAGCAAAGTTTATCTGCAGCCTCTACTGAAGGAGGGGTTTTGTAACAAAGAGATAGCTTATCTGGGACAGCTGGGTGCTGTCCCACGAGAGCCTGAGGCACCAGAGCTAAGAGCGCGGGCCTCATTTTCCGGTGACCTCCAAGACCAGAAACCATACCACTTCAATGTAGCCTACAGGTCAGGATCAACCACTCGAGGACAGACCCACACAACAAAAATGGACAGAAACGGTGAGCAGTAGGTTAGCTCCTACCCTGTACCTGGCCCTGCTAGAAAGCACCTCAGCAGGCCCTATGTCCTCCAGCTGTTGGCAGCAGCTACCAGGGGGGTGACATGTGACCAGTTAGTCAAGTGCCTGGCTCCAAAATTCCAACCCCTAGAAAACTGCTTCCAGCGGCCACATCACAAGGGTTTTTCAGAAGCAGGGCACCCGGCCCCCCCCCCCCATCCCCTCACCGGCGGCTTTGCTTGCCCTCTGCTCACTCCCTCCGGATATAGAAGGATATCTCTGTGGTCAGAGTTCTTCCTGCTGAGTCACCGTGGCCAGCCTCCGGGGGGGGGGGGAGGGGCAGGCAGACCTGGTCTGCCAGCTATGAATGCTGTTTGTGGCCTCGGTGGCCACAGCACCCTCCCCCTCCCATCCGAAATCTTTGTTCTTAAAGCCACCCCAAAGGGGTAGAGATGAGAGGCTGAGGGATGAACAATAGAGGTCTGTCACCAAAGGCCCTTGGTCTCGGCCAGGAACCTTACGTCTATGCCCCCACCCCGAACACCTTCATCAGTAAAGGTCATTTGTCCCTCTGTGTACCTCTTCTGTAAGACTTCACATTTTAAACTATCTCTTTGTCTATTAACATCCATTTAAGCAATCAGAATACTTTGTTTTAAAGACTGAAGCTACCAGTGGTTCTTGGCAAAAAGCTTCCCACCCAGGAAACAAGCTCGCCCGGCCTTACCTAAAAATAAAGGGTGGGGCTGACCACTGGAACCCAGATTCCAAGGCACAGTAGCAGGACCCTCCAGACAGTCTCAAAGCACCTGCGGAAATATCCCCACCCTCCCGATCATAGAGGGGACAGGGTCGCGCCAGCCTGAAGATCCAGAAAGAACATGAAGGCTATGAAGACAGGCCACATCTCGGCCTTCTGCGTCACCCGCTGTGGCTGTGCGTTCTACTACCGCTACCCGCCACCCTCTAACCTCCTGCTCCTAGTCGGTAAGAAGTGATTAATCTCCCCTGGCATGGAATTCCTGGCAGACTGATGTGCCTGCCTGGCAGAGGCACCTTGGGAGAAGAGCTGCTGGCTTTGGGGAGCCATGGCTGTTTGAGGGCTGCAAAGGCAAGCACAGAGTTGTCGCTTACAAGGAGGAAGAAACCATTAAGTCCTTGCCTCCCATGGCCACGCCTCTGTTGAACCTTTTGGATGATACCTGGATTACTAAAAACGAGATACCCCAAACAGGGGGTCCACCCGATATGCCAAGCAGCCCTGTGGCAAGCATGAGGGGCTCCAGGGTTATACAGAACAGACAAGGAAGCCACCCGGGGTCTCACAGGAAGGTTAAGGGGAGGGGCCAGCCTTGATGCCAGAATGATCATCAGGATCAGTCTGCTCATTCACACTGGCCTTTCCCTTGGGAACTCTGCTGGCTTCCCCAGGTGGGCGATCAGCCTTCTCCTGCCCACACAAGAGATCAGAAAGGAGTTCTGCTGGCGCCTCCTCAGCTCTCCTCAGCTCCTGCCCAGACCCAGGCGTTCCCAGAGAGCATAAACGTCACATGTCGCCAGAGAAAAGCAAACTGAGTAGCAGAATGTGCTGCATTTTAAGGGTGTGACAGTTTAGGGGATGTCCACCGGGGTGCAGGAAAACAACCCACTTCTTGATCGCGATGTAAATGTAACAGATCTGGCTCGAACTCATGGCAGTCTTCCTGCCTCAGACTTCCCACTCCCCAAGTGCTGGGGTTACAGGGATGGGCCACCACCCCGGAGCAGTGTTATCTCTTACAGTGTGTAGGGGGACTGCCGGAATACCTTCCCATCAGCCCCTCCTAGCAAACCCCATCTTCGTGCCAATACCACAAGGGCCACAGCCTTTCTAACAGTCAGTTTTATCCAAAACTTAATCCACTGTACACAAAAGGGTCAGGCTTTCCCTGCACCTTCTGCACAGGTCCAAGAAATGTGGAAGCCAACAATGATGGCATATCCCAAGTCAGTCTGGCCATCTCCGAAGCACTGGGCACCTTCTGAATAGAATTTCCTAACATGCCAATGAATTTCAACCTGTTTTTCCTAAGTCCTGCTGAATGTAATTACCTAACAGATTTCTGAAAGGTATTTAAGCATATACTTCCTAGGGCTGGGGTGAGGTCCAGTGGTCGAATGCTTGCTGAGCACATACAAAACAGCAGGTTGGTCCCTAGCACTAAGGGGGAGTCAACAAATAAAGAACTTAATTTCCCCTGCTTAGACAGGAATGGCCTGTACAGGGCTTGCCTGAGCAGCAACTACACCCCCAGTTAGCTCCAAGACCCTAATTCTTTTACACGCAGAGCGAAGCATTTCAAAGCACAAATCACGAACACGGGGCCTCCTGGCCATAAATTTTCCACTCTAGTTGGCTGCTGGGCCCAGCAAGAGTGGAGCTAATATATGGGAAAGCGCTTTGTAAGGTTGGTGCTGGTAATGCCACCGTAACAGGGTTCCCAGAGGGGAGTGGCTGTGGTGGCGACTATGGCCGGGGATCTTAATGGGGCTGCCACTTTTTCCTATCATCCTGAGCCACCATCTTGCTCGGCCCAGAATGGAAGTCTAGGTTGTCTCAAGGTCATATGCCTTTGGGGGCCTCGCTTTAACCAAGCAGTCTTCAGACCTAAGTGGGCTTCTGGCTTTGTGGTTCCTTCCCAGGCCTGCTGGCTGAACCCCACCCCCACCCCAAAGCTTCCCTAGCTCTCTCCTGCAGTCAGTCCCTGTCCTCCCAGGCTCTCAGTTATGTCCAGCAGGCTGGCCTGTTACAGGGTGACTTGTCTTCCAGCCCTGTTCCTTCTGCCAGGAACTGTCTCCGTAAGAAAAACAGCTGTCCAGTTTTACAGGTTCTGAGCATCTAAAGGAATTTTTTGGCTCCTAAACGACCACCTTTTCCTGCAAGGTAAAAAGCCCAGAAGATTCTGAGGACCAAGGACAAACTCCACCAACTGCCTCTGGCTTCTTTAGTCAGTTACCTCGGTTGGCTCCAAACACCTAGAAGCCATTTATTGTAATGGTGTAGCCAAAGCCATTAAGGCTTGGAATTCTTGCTTGAGACCTACCAATTTTATAATCCTAACACTCCCCATCTTTTCCTTTTTGGGACACAGTGTTGTATTTACAAACAGAAAAAAAGCCAGTCATTCTCCCTCTGGGTAGGCAGGAAATGTAGGCAACCCCTTGAGCTAAGCTCCAGGATGGCACTGGGGAAGCTGGAGATAAGAACGGGAGAAAGAGAGACAAGCAGGCACCAGCAGAGGTCCTGGTCTCCGACACAAGGCGGGGTCAGATCAAAGGCCTGGGGGCAGGTGAGTTTTAACCAAGCAGGGAAGGTAGACGGACCCACCCAGCTGCTCCAAACAGCCCCCTGGATAATGCTGCCATGAGGTTGGAATGAGAACTGAAGTCATGAGATAAATCCTAGACCGGAGGGAAGATGAAATTGTTCAAAGCAGACCCTGTGTGTGGAGCAGACGGGTCAAGAAATTGGTAATCTAGCTGCCTCAGCCTCCAGGTTACTGAGATCATAGGCATGCACCAACCACATGCCTGAAATCAGTGTGTGTGTGTGTGTGCGCGCGCGCGCGTGTGCATGTGACAGATTAATTCTGACACTGGGAACGCTGGCAGCAAAGAATTCTTAGTACTCCTAGGGTAAGAAATTCCTTCTGTTTGTTAAAAGTCAGGCTATCCTAAAACGCACAAAGCCAAACATTTATGGAGGGAAAGAATCTCAAAGATATATACGGAGGATAAAAATCTGAAAAACTTTAAAAGTTTTAAGAAACTGTCCTTAAAATGCCTTATACAATTTTAAGTTAAAAGTATCTCCCATGATTTTTACTAGCAAAGTAGAAAACATAAGATCTTAGGTAACTGCTTTTAACAAAACGTGATTGATAGCAGCAAACATACGGGGCTAAAATACGTCAGCGAAGTTTAATTCCTGCTTTTGAACCCTTGCTTGTGAAAATCCACTGTTAACTACTGACAATGCGTAACAAATCACCCTTTTAAGTGACCAAAAAAAAAAAAAAAGGAAAATTGTGATTTCTTTTAAAAGCAACTAACGGGGGTGCGGGTGGGTGGAAGATGACAAAGATCGATTGCTTAGGTCAGGAAGGACAGAAGGACAGCATTTCTGAGACTGTTGTTCTGTCTCCTCATCCCAGGGATGCAGGGGCACCCACCACATCTCCTTCCCTCTTGTGCACTGTCTGCCCCGTTGCTCAGCCAGCAGGAGGAGGCCTGGATTCCCCAGCTGAGCCAAATTATCCCTTTACTAACTAAGAACAAATCTATCAGGCCTCTGGGCCATGATTCTCTCCCACCAAGCCACCTCTTCCAGGCTGGCACCCTCTCCCCGGTGGTGGTGGCGGGGGAGGGACATGGGGGAGTGTTAGTTAGTGGCCATGACGTCTCCTTCCTACAGCAGACATTTTCTTGCTGCCCTCTCTACCGAGGCCAGTCCATAGCTGGCAGAAAAGAAGAGGGACGAGGTTGTGGCTCAGTACGTACATTCACATAAACTAAGGCTGGCAGATGGACGCTCTGCTACCTCTACAGAACAAGGGGCAACAAACATCCCCCTCCACCCCGGCCCTCATTTTAGCCAAAGTCAGTACGCAGAACTTCTGGCTGGGACTGGTGGTGAAGCTGGGATAGCAGCTGTTCCTAAACAGATGAAAACAAAGCAGTCCAGGCCTCAGAGGACTGGGAAGTGGCCTTTTGGCTTTTGATGGGCTGGGGAGAGCCTCCCTGTCCAATACGGACAAGCGACAAGGGCTGGGAAGGCAGAGATCAGCCTAGCACAGCTCAAAGGAAATGTCTTTCTGTGGACCAGGCATCGGACCATGGGGGGGGGGGGGATTGTCATTTTGCCCAGAGGCCACCTGTCCTACCGGGTTTTACGTCAGTATTTGTCCTGAAGCGTTTCTCCGAACTGGCCTGGCCTCCGGGTCTCCGGATCCGAAGGAGGACCGGCAGAGTGCCGCGAGCCACGAGATTTAACCTTTAAAAATACGCTTCCTTCTCTAGGCGCTAGGCGCCAGGTCCCAGAGCCTGCGGCCCGGAAGGAAGCCTTAAGGGCTCAGCTAAGGCCCACAGCTGCCGCTCCGGGGCGGTCCCCTCCGGATTTCTTCCAGGAAGAAAAACAAAACAATCCCTGACTCCACGTGGGGCTTAAATGCTCCCAAAGCTAGAGTCGGAAAGCATAGCCCCGGATTTCTCAATCTCAGGGCTGAGGAACCCCGGGTAGCCTGGACTCCTCCCCCCCCCCCCCGGGAACTTTCACCCCAAGACAGTTTCACCTTTCCCACCTCCAATACCGATTCGGGGAGAGCCGGCAGGCTTAAGCAACAGCACAGACGCAGAGCCTGGGGTCCAAATAGGACCCCGCCGAGGGGAGGACATAGGACCTGCGCCTGACCCGGGGCTCCGGGTACCGCGTGGGGCTCGGCTTTGACCACTAGGCGGTCGCTAAATCCGGGATGAGTCTTCCCGGCAGTCGCTCCTAAAAATGCTCTAGGGAGAAGGCGGAGAGACTAGGGACTCCCCTGGAGGAGCAAAAGGCGGCCCTCGCGGAAAAAGAAAGAAAAGTCAGCAAAATCGCCTTAGCAGTTCAGCCTCGGGTCAACAGCAGCGTTTCCCCAGCAGCTGGCGGGTCAACTGGTCAGGAAACAACTGCGAAGAACAAAGCCCCCCGCTGTTCCGCAGGGCCAGCCCTGCTCGCCCGCACCCAGCCACTTTCCCGGTGCTTTTCCGACGGGACCGGAGAAAGGGTTTCTCCCCCAGACTCACTTCTAGTGACGAACAAGGCTCCGAGAAGAAAAGTCTACTAGAGGGGAACTTCGACAGGGAAAGGGGCGGCTCTTGGAAGGCGGGGAATCCGAAATACCTCCCGGGTTCAAAATTAAGACCCGACCCGAGCGAAAGAATGTGCGGAATGCAGCGGCCGGAGGTAGGGGCGCAGCGCGGCAGGGGGCGCCCGACCCCCTCTCTCGCCGCGCGTTCCGCAGCCGGAGGCCCGCACAGCCGCCGGGTTGGCAGGTGCTGCGAGCCAACGGTCCCTTTCTCCAGGGACTGGGACAGTGTGCGATCTTTTGGGGGGATGTCTGACTTCTAATGACAAGCCACCTCCTCTCCGGCCGCCTATTTAGGCCAGGGTTCGCTTCTACCAGGCACGCGCCGCTAGCAGAGAGTGGAGAACGGTGTGTGAACAAAAGGTGGTGGTCTCCGCTGCCTGGATTAACAGGAGGCGGCGCGGTCCTGTCCGGTGTCCTCCCTATACAGCACACTCCAGCCTCCCCGCTCCGGGAGCCTATGTCTAGCCCGGGGCAGGAGAAGTTGGCTGCCTTCCAGAAAAGCTCTGAGTTGGGGCAACAGGAGACAAGATAAGAACGCTCCCCAGATCTGCAACCCAATTCTCCTTCCTGTATTTACCAAAGGCGGAACTGTGAACGAACTCTATCTAGAATCAGATCCCACCTCGGCGTTCACCTTCCTCCACCTCCCTCTAGGGTTCTCGGGGCCACACCGAACCAACAGGCCTCTCTTGTCCCTGTAGGACTTACGAGCGGGTTCTCAACACTCGAAACTGGGCTGCGCAGAGGAATCGCTTCCAGGCCAGAACCGTTCTTGTCAATAAACACGGGAACTCTAGGAAGCGTGCAGATTGCAGGTGGCTGGAGACACACGCCAGCACGCCCCCCCACCCCAGACTTGGGCTCAAAACCATGGCAAGACCGTGCACACTGACCCGCACGGGGACTCCCGCAGCCCGAAGTCACTCGGGTACTTCTTCCCCATGCCCCGCAGGGCGCAGGCCGCCAAGTCCCATACACCTACCTACCTACCCCTCAGCTCCCTCCCGGTCGTCCACGTTTACCTTTAAGCAGGCAGATATCTGTGCGCTCGGCATTACGGCGCAGCGCCTGCACGACCAGCGACACGGTGCTGTCCTCGCGAAGGCTCTCGGCGCGCGGGCTGCGCTCGTCGTAGACGATGACCGCCGAGTAGAGGCCGGAGCGCAGGCGGGCGCGCACTTCTTCCTCGGCGGGCAGAATCTGCTCCAAGCTCACGGAGCCCTTGGCCCTCCGCCTCACGATGGTGTTGCAGCGCACGTTAACCGAGCCTCGGATGTAGCCCGCGCTGTGAGCCAGAAACGGTCTGCAGTCCAGCAGCAGGCACTTGCCGCTGCTCAGCAGCCCCAGGGCGCCGTGGCCGCTGCTGCCGCCCGCGCCGCCGCCGTTCTCGTCTCGGTTCATCAGCCTTTTGAGCACGCTGCAGTCCATCTCCCGCAGTTCCTCCATCGTCACCATGTCGCCGGGAACCGCAGCAGCTGGGGAGCTGGAGAAGACAAGGGCACCCAGGCCAACTACAGGAAGGCGCAGGCGAGGGCTAAGAGGGCGCCTGTCGAAGTGGCCGCAAACTTGGCCCCAGCCTCTTCTCCCCACACCCCTTCCTCCTCTCGCAGCTTCGACGTTACATAGCAGTCCGAGCCTTCTCGGACTTTAGAAGCAGGCAGGTGCGCGGCCCTCGGGGGAAAAGTGACCGAGGAGGGGAATGTGTTTACGAGAGGGCTCCCCTCGGTTTGTTGCCTCTACTGTGTTTTGCTAGCTGGGCTGCTCCTGCCGCCACCCTCTCGGGCGCCGCTGTTCCACGCAACACCCCGCTAGAGCTGCGCGCACAACCCCAGCCAGAGTTTCCTCCTCGGCTTAGAGATTTATTAATGCTCGCCGGCTCTCCTGGGGGAGGGAAGACTCATTACTACCTCGGCAGGCCCCGCCCCCCGCGCGCGGGCGCCCCGCCCCGCCCCGCCCCCACCCCAGCTCGTGAATGGAGCGCCGGCCCCCTCGCACCCAGTCACGGGAACTCGACGTCACAAAGAGAGGAGTAAACAGGGCGCTCGGTGCTCGCTGCCAGGCCCATTCATAAAACTAAGACCTAGAGGAAAAAAGAGGCAGCCTCCGACCCGTCCGCGAGCCGGCAGCTCCCGGACTTTGTGAATGGAGCCGCGGCGCCTCTCTGTGCCCTTTCCTTAGCCCCGGAGCTCAGCGTCCGCGCAAAGACGGTAGCGGGTGGCGACGCCGGCCTAACCGAGGCCTGGGCTCTCAGGATGGAGGTCTTAGCCTCTGCGATCGCCTCCCTCCTCCCCTGCCCCCGAGTCTTCTAGGTCTCCCCTCCTGCAGCTCAGTGGACCCGAGCGCTGAGCGGCTGTCACCCCGCAGAGCTTGGGCACCTCCTCTCGCCGGACTTTGTTCTTGAAGTCCTGCCGGTTGCGTTTCGTTTTGTTTTTAATGCCATTGATTTCCCAGACGTTCGTTTTTAGATTAGCGTGATCGATTTCCAGCCTGATCCATTATATCAGCTTTATAGCTTCCCGTGGAACGTGGGCAAACCTCGATGTAGAAGATGAAAGGGGAGGCCCTCGCGCCAAAGCCCAGTAACAAAAGAGAAGTGTAGAATTTGTTACTTTACAACCCAGAGGGGGGCGTTAATTAGCCGAATGGTGTGCCTGTGCGGGAGAGCTGGGCTGCACTCCGGCCCCAGCTTCCTATAACGTGTTTATTTAACCATGGTTGGGGAGGGGAGAATAACCCGACGTTTTCCGTTTCGGGGGAAGTCCTCGCCTCCCTCTTGGTCACACGCGAACTGTCCTCTCAGGAAATGACTATTAGGGTCCACATTTGGTGCTAAGGGAGACGGTGAAAAGTGTCCATGCGAAGACTGACCTTTTGAACAAGTCTGATTAGCTCGGAAAAGATTCGAATTTCTACATCCCTGTTTCCAGATCACCTAGTATCCGCACCCAGGTTTTACTTTGCCAGAGGCATTTAATTTCCCAAGGGCTTGCTTTTGGCAAGAGGAGAGGTTGTGCGCACACGCGGTGGGGACCTTACAGAAGCCAAAAATTATTCTGCCGAGATCTTGCCAAGTCTTGTTAGCAAGAATTAATCACAGAACGAGGGAATTACGGGATTCGCTCGCGGCCTTGGTGGCGGCGAGGTCGAGTGTTCCATTTCAGGTCGCGGGTGGAAGAGGGCCGCCTCAAGGTCCTTCCTGCCCAGTTCTGCCCTCTCTACTCTTGCCCTCTGCTTTGTTCCCTGCGAAGCGGCCCCTCCTAGCTCACCTCCAGCACCCAGCACCCATCTCCAAGGCCTTCTACCTGTTCTCCTTTCCACGTGCACCCTGAAGTCCCCGACACCCCTATCTGGGTCCAGTGGGCTGTGTAAGACGCTGAGCATCCATGGAAATCTTTCCATTTTGCTTCAGGATGCAAAATGGGCACTGGAATGTTACTGCCTTCATTTTTTTTTATTTTGTTCATGGATTTTTTTCCAATTAAAAAGATAAATGTGGATTAATTTGTAGCTGACATTTTTAGTGACCCCCGTCGCGCCTTAAATTTTGGCTCCTGGAATGCATGAGCACACTAATCCGGACTCCGGAAGGAGCCACAACACCAGAATGACACAGGCTGCCTGGGGCAGGGTCTTGGACACTCGTCACTCGGGCTGGGAGGGCAGGAAGGACGCGCCACCCCAGTGAGGAGGGCAAAGGGGGCTGGATTCGGTTTCTCTTGTTCCAGGGTGGGGGATGGCTGTGAGGACGACTAATGGTTCCCCTCTCGCTAGCCCGGCTATTCGTGGCCCTGTCCTAGGCATCCCTGGTGCCTCGACAGCCGGGACCAGATTCGCTCTTGTGGGGGGCGGCTCCCCAGTTCACAAACCCAGCGGGTACCAGGCCTCAGCTCCCGGAGCAAGGAAGCACAGACTGCTTTACAAGGGCGTTGACACAACGTTTCTCCAAAGAGTCCAAGCCAGGTCTGGACCGATTTCACACGAGTTACGGGGGGGGGGGGGTTGTCCCCAGGTGGCGCTGGCCACGCTCGGCTAGCCTTTGTCTCCCCTGCACTAGGGGAGTCCCCCTCCCCCCGCCGGCCAGGCCCGGGCCCAGTGCTCACGTGGCCCGTAAATAACAGTCAAATCCAGGTTGGTGCAGGGAGGGGGGGGGGGGATGCCCACCGAACAAAGGGCTGCCTCTGCACCTGACAGTAATCCGTGCTGGAGAAGCCCATAAATCGCGTAGACGAGTCACACTCAGGGGGGTGTAAGCAGGCGCGTGTGAGTGTATGTGCCCACGTGTGCGTACCGGCGCCTGCGCGCCTGTTTCGGGGGTGGGGGTGGGGGGAGCCACTTCGGACTTAGTACATTTAAGCCAAGAGAGGCTTTTGTTGAGACGATGTTGAATAAAACAACAAAATCCCTTTCCCTTTCCCCCAGTTCAGGAATTGCCTTCCGTGTGTGAATGTCAGCAAATGAGCTTTAAATGACAGCATTGTGTTTACCCGGATGCTGTGTGAGCACCCTAGATAATTTTCTTAATGGAAGCGTGTGAACCATTTGGTCCACAGTTAGGTGACTACAATGTAAGGTCTACCCAATAGCGGCTATAGAGAAGATACAAAACTAGCCTTGGATTGGTCGTGAGAAATTGAGGGGTGAGAAGCATTCAGTTTACACAGGAACTTCCTGCGTCAGCTTGTCAATAAAATCTTTCAGAAAACAAAGGCATTTGGGGGAAGATGGCTTGAATGTCTCGTTTCAGAGTTAATTAGGAATATCTGCAGGGACTGGGGTGGGATTTCCCAGTTTACGTTCAAAAGTAAACCTTGGGGTGGAAATGCTTTGAAAATTTCACTTTGACACGTGAGTCCCCCTTGCCTTTCATCAGACAGTTCTTAGACCGACCTTTTTAGGGTGTCAGGCCTCAGCAAATCCCTGCGCTTGTTTAAGAACCTTTCTTTCCAATTAGAAAGTTTTGTGATCTGGGGATTAGAAGCCAGGAGTGCAATCCCCAGAGAAGACTGTGGCTTCTATTCTGGTTTTGATGCTAACCTTTGAGTCACAGCCCTGCCACAAAGTAACTGAATAAAATTTAAAAAAAAAAATCATGGATAAATGAATAATGGAGGTGAGGATGCGCAGTTGGTTGGATCCCCTGACTTCTGAGCCTTTTTCCTTCCCCTCAACTGCACAGGAAGTATCGTTTTTACCTGAACCTGTTTGGGCTCTGATAGGAAAATACAGGTAGGAACTGGAGTCCAGCTCAGGCTCCAAGCCGAGAGAGGCCCCACACGGGTCCTCAGACAGCACTGACAAACACTGAACTGAAAATCCCTACCTCTCCTTCCTACCCACCTCTGCTCCTCAAGCTGGAGTTTGAAGGCCTTGGGGATCTTCAACACCTGGCAATCAACAAAAGAATTCAAAAGCACAACCTAAACAGAGCTTCAGTCTAGTTTATGAGATAAGATGGGGTTCCGTGTAACTCAGGCTGGCCTGAGACCTGCTGTGCGGAGGAGGCCATCCTTGAACTCCTTATCCCACCGCCATGCCGTAAGACTATTGAAATAATGGATTCCAAAGAATTCAAACTTCCCCGGGAAATTGTGAAAGGAAAAGTCTGATGCCCTAATGCCAGAAGGAGAAATTTACGCGGAGGAGGGGATGTTTCACGGGTTATCAGACAACTTTTTAGAACAGACTTTGCAGCCAAGACCATGACGGAGACCAAACCTTGACCAAGTCTATTAATTATGCATGCCCTTTGCTCTCTATCTAAACGGAAACCTCTGTTAGCACCTGGAAGACAGACTGGGTGGCACTGGGTCTCTTCATTTTTTCTTTCCAATGGGGCCACAGTGAATAAATCTGTCCCTGCTGTTCCCTCGGATCTGCCTCTTTGTTGGTATACTAGGGACGGGGTGGATGAGCCTGCCTTGTCGGATGAGCCTGCCTTGTCGGGACTGCCAGAGTCCACCCTCCGAGTCTAACATCTCCACAAACATTACCTCCATTTTGGAAGTTCTGGGATTACAAACGTGTGCCACCGAGTCCATCTGATGGGTCATTTTAGTGCTGACTTTCTTTTCAGTGGGTGGCATTGTGCTCCCTTCTAATGGCTTAAAATGCTAGGCTTCCGGGGAGGTGATTGTGGAAAATGTTTAGCGATTTGATAATTCCTCCATCAAAGCTATGTTCCCATATTTACCTTAGTGGCCTTAGGCAAGATGTTCTCCCTTAGCCAACCTTTCTTTGCCCTGAAAGTGAAGCTTGGGCGAGAGTTTCCTGTCTGTATGACTCCGTATGTGTTTCCAACCCTGTACAAAATGATTCTGAGCAGGTGAGCTCCTCTCAATTCCAAACGCACTCTTCCCCACCGTCCCCACATCATCCTCCACAAAGCCAAGCACACGACAATGCCATGCCAGAAAGACAATCTCCAGCCCCCGTCACTCCTTTATAGGATATATAGACTTAGAGAACGAAGCTCACGGGCTTTCTTTATTTGAGACAATCGTTAATTTTTCAAACATTCGAATGAAAGTTCGGGGGGGGGGCGGAGGTTGTTTTGTTTTGTTTTGTCAGGTGGGTAGTGCGTGACCAATGTTAGAACGCAGGGGGCTGAAGAATTGGCGAGTTGGGAGAGGTGGGCTAGCCTGGAGGGGGCTACATAGATCATGCCTCAAAGGGGGAAGATCGGGTTTTGAAAACAAATGGATGTGCACTCAGCCTAGTCTCTGTCACTCTAGCTGTGCGAATTTTCTTCTTCATCCATTCATTCACTCGACAGACGTGCTAGCCTCAGCATAAGTAAGTGTGCCGAATCATCATGATGCCTCCCAACTCGTAGCGGGAACCAGTAAATATCCTTATAGAAGAGCAGATA